GGGCCCAGATCTCAAATCTCAATGTGCCACGACCCTGCGCCCCCTTACGGGAGCCGTCCCACAGAACACTTATTTCGTAATGGTTTTGCGGACGAGCGTCCCTTTTTTTGACTTTCGACCACTGAACGAGGTCCAAGGCCCCCAAACATTTCTGCCCGCACCGTGGGGCCGTGGCGAGAAGGAAAACGGCACCCCCTAGTCGTAAAAGTAAGCCGGGTTGGGGGCACCTCACCGTGCCCAGAGTGTGTGTGTGTGTGTGTGTGGGGGGGTCTATGGCACTTTTGGTAAATATAGTAGGTTATTGGACAAATAGTGGTTCCGTGGAATGGGGGCGTGGCCCGGGAGTGGGGGCGTGGGTCTACAGCACTTTTGGTAAGTGGGTTACTGGACAAATAGTGGGTTCGTGGGACGGGGGCGTGGCCCGGGAGTGGGCGGGGAGTGGTCCCGTGACATTTGGTAATTATAGTGGGTTATTGGACAAATAGTGGGTTCGTGGGACGGGGGCGTGGCCCGGGAGTGGGTGGGTAGTATTCCGGGAATGTTTGACCAATATAGTGGGCCACTGGACAAATAGTGGGTCTGTGGGATGGGGGGGTGGTGGGGTTTCGCACTCCAGCGCCAACTAGAGGCGTCCAAATAACCCCTATCCCATGCAAATCAAGTCACGATCCGTTAAATCGAGGGTAGTCCTAAAAGGCCCACTCCCCACCAAGTCTATAGGAGAGTCATCCCACATCCCACGATCTCCTACGATCCCTCGGGGCCATTATGCGACCAATGGCAGCTTATTAATATGGGCTTTTGTTCACGAACCACCGGTTTGGACTAACTCTACTGTAGTCCAACTTGTTTTAGAAAGTCACAATGAATCAGCAAACAAAACAGAATGAGTCATTCTGCTAAAAAGAATCAAGTGTCACTGGTATGAATCCTGAGACATTGAATTTTGAGTATGAATTGAGTAAGACATTGAGTATGAATTTTGAGACATTTTGATCTGGGGTCTAGTTAGAGATGTCGATGAAGAGGTGGGATTTTTTTCTTTCTACGGCAGTGGAGGAAAGACAAATCTTACACTAATCTAGTTCTGAGACACGAGAGGCTCTCGGTCACATTTCTCTGCGGTTTAGAAAGCAAGCGGAGAGAACTTTGCTAACGGGCTGATCTTCAGCAAGGATGTTCTGAGCTATTAATATCCTGAGCGTTCATCACATGTCTGAGGAAAACCCTTTCAGATTAAGCACTGAGCTAATAGAGCGGCATTTCATGATGTTCTGTGATTGGTCAATGGCCTCATGGCTGAATCTCATCTTCATTTTCTTCATGCAAACCTTTTTTGTGACATGGCCATGTTCTTCTTCAGATTCACCCTGATTGTGTTTAAACAGGCCGATTTAGCATTTTCTGAAGGGCATTGATAAGAATAGTGTTGGTCACCTCTCCGGTTGAAGTATTCTCTGGAGTATCTGCCTGAGAGGGCGCAGTGAGGAGGAATGGGACCCAACAGCTCAATGACGTGAGCTATATGATCTGAAAAACACATTTTTGGACTGGTTATCATTTATAAAAAGCAAACTAATATCTCTATTGTGTGTATATTAGGAATGCAAAACATATTAGTGTATGGTTCTATTCGACTGGACAGTTTTTAAGTGAACTGAGTTCTATATTTCCAGTGTTTTTTAAAAAAATAATTATCTCGATAGGGATTATACAATAGATAGTACAAATATAGATATTTATATACGTCACACTTATTATAGGTAACTAAAACCAAAACCATTTAAAAAACAACAACATTTTCTTTACTTGAAATAAAGGAAAGTTAAATCACAAATCACAAAAAAACTTGCCAGGGCAGCATTTCTCATTTTCATGTAGTTTAATTTGATGTGCTAAAATAACTAACAAACACTAAAACAACAATTTATAAAAAAAAAAACCCTATATAGACATCTTAAAAAAAAAAAAAAGACCCTTTATTATAAAAACTTAAATTATACATGTACTATATGTCTCTCATACATTTTTTTTACACATGACAATGATAGATTTTTTTAATGGTTTAGAAAGAATCTCTTCTGCTCATCAAGGCTGCATTTATTTGATAAAAACTACAGTACAAACAGTAATATTGTGAAACATTATTACAATTTAAAATAACTCTTTCCTACTTTAATATATTTTAGGAACACATTACATTTTGTGATGCAAATCTGTATTTTCAGCATCATTCCTCCAGTCTTCAGTGTCATATGATCCTTTAGAAATCATTCTAATATGCAGATTTCTAATATGCTGAAGTTTTCTAATATGCAGATTTCTAATATGCTGAAGATTTCTAATATACTGAACATTTCTAATATGTTAAAGACTTCTAATATACAGAAGATTTCTAATATGCTGATTTCTAATATGCAGATTTCTAATATGCTGATTTCTAATATGCTGAAGATTTCCAATATGTAGATAATATGCAGATTTCCAATATGCTGATTTCTAATATGCTGATTTGCTGTTCAATAAATATTTTGGATTATTAGCAGCAGCAACATTGAAAACAGTTGTGCTGCTTAATATTTTTGTGAAAAGCTGTGATACAGTTTTTGTCAGGATTCTTAGATTATTTCATCTTGAACGGTCATGTTTATATTCATGAACCCAGCCAAACAGCTCTGAGATTGATGCAAAGCAGAAAAGTATTGGAAATGACAAAAAAATCCTAGGCCCAATTTAATTATTTTAAGAGGAAATGTATTGTTCATCCCATGAATCATTGTGAATCAGATACTGGTCAAAACTACAGACCCACAGATACCGATAAGTAATATATAATACATATAAAAATTGTATCATGCCAATAACACTTGTTACATCTGAAACTAGATAAAAAAACTGAGGAAGAGCAAGACAACTGACCTTCATCTCGAGTGTAGTCCTCTCCTGAGTGAGGCTCAAACAGGTAGTCTCCAGTCGCCAACTCAAAAGCCTGTTGAGACACATGATGTTACAGCTCTATCACATGACCTCTTTGGATGTACAGATTAATGTATGTTCATCCGTCAGGCAGCAGGTTGTCTGAATGACTAGTTGACTAATTGGACTTAAGTAGTAGTGAGTGAACCGTGACTCTTGAACTCTATCACCCCATTTCTCTCGTCGGGGAAAAAGCAAACTGAGCTGAACTCAAATTTACAGACTGACAAATGATTCGGCGAAATGACTGTTTCTTCAAATAAAGCTTATGCTTAATTTGATACCACTCTCATTGGCCCTCTGTAATTTCACAGCTGGACCACCAATCACAGAGCTGAAAGCATTATGCAGAAAAATTATTATAGGGACATACACTGTTAAAATATACAACTATCCTGACTCATCACTTCTCAGACTGTTTTCTTTGTGACTGTGGAAAAGTGGATGTTGGATCAGTGCTGATTAGCATCAGTGTTAAACAAACACGTGCTTATAACATAGCTAATAATATAACAAAGCCTAAATATCTGCCTTATTTTCATTAAACAGTCGAACACAAGAACTGACATATCATTTCATCCTTTCTGATTTAACTACACTGACACTATTGGATGAGAACTCAACTTGTTTAGCTGGATAATAACATCTCTGTTTTCAACTTTAAAACTGAATCAAACTCATTTCATTATGAACTTTACAAAGTTTTTGAACCAAAAAGAATCAACACTGATTTCAGCTGAATAATGACTGCTTATTATTGTCTTTTTAGAGCCGCTTTACAGCAGAACTGAATCATTATTTTCCTGTTTCTCACTGTAAAGCTGCTTTGAAATAATCTGTATATAAATAAAGAGGACTTTGGTGAGGACATTGGTGGGAAAAGACTGACGGGGATGATCTTTATGAGACATTTCTTTTGTAAATTTGATGGTGGATTGCTTCAGTTATTGTTCATTTTATTTCAAGGTTTATTTGATGGTTTTAGTTTTGTTTTTTGTTTTTTTATTTAACCATTATTTAACCAGGAAGTCCCTTGAGACTGAGTCTCTTTTCCGAGGGAGACCTGGCCAAGACGGCACACCAGCTTCAATTTAAATACCAATACAACATAGTCAAAAACAAACAAACAAGCATCACACATAAAAGAAAAGAGCAGGTCACATATGGCAGTTACATTTTTGAGTTATATTGCATTTTAACATGGCCTTAAATTCATTTAATGGAACTAGATCATTTAGATGGAACAAATTTTTCAAGTAAGAGGAGGCTTTTTTTCCCAGCTTAACCATAATAACCCTGATGGTTAACCATAATAACCCTGATCGCACTGAATGAGTTCGTACCATACACGCAGTGCTCCATATGTCAGCAGGGGGTCCGTATTCGG